TTATCTGTTATAGCTTCTCTGATTAGGGATACCATTTGATTCAGTTTACAGTAGTCTACTATTATTTGCCATGGTCCACCTGGCTTCGAAGGGATCATATTGGTTAACTGAACTCCTTAGTCACCATTAGTCTTTCAAGTTGGCATTAATCTCTGCAATTTCACTGGAATGAGGTATGGCCTCTGATTTATTATCTTTGCCAAGGAGTAAGGGAGAGGGATACAGTTTCAGGGACTTCCACTAGGTCCTTCCTACCATAACGGTTCATACTTGATTGGTCAGAGGACCAAGGTAATGGTTTTATTAGCTACTATCACAATTATGCACACGGCAACTGGGGAATGACCATAAGTTTATGGACCCATGACAGCCAGTGTGAAACAGATTAGAAAACGTATCCTATCACCCAGCCACCGCATGCCCCATTCTAAAAGGGGTTTATGGTGCACCTTAGATTCCCTGGTATTGATGTAGTTCACCCTGTATCTGACAGCCCTTGAAAGAGCTAGGAATTCCCAATTTCTCCAGTGTATGGTTCCTCTGAAAAAATGCCCATAGGTTCCTGTGGAAAAAGTATGGGTAAATACCATATATATTTGTGGTGTTGCAAGGGGTCTTCCTCAGGGGGATCCAGATTCTTTTTAATTGATGAGCTCTGGGTTTCCAAACTGGCTTACATCTGGAAACCCGTCCAGAGATCATACTATTCCATTTTGGCAGTTGACATGTGCCTTCTGTTCACCAGCTCAAGTTCACTGTTATTGCTGTTGTATAATTCAATCAACACTTTCATTAGCTTTCTACCTATCTTGCCCCTAAAAATATCATAGTCTATGGAACACCACAGATATCCTGAATATCAAGGATCTCTGACTGTAATTACATCCATTTTGCTTCCGATGATTCCGTGCTGCCAAATGCCTTTGCTATTCTAGGATTCTATGGTACCTATTGATACTAGAGCATCTCCTGCTGTCATTTCTAGCCTGCACAGGACAGTCGCCATTAAGACTCTCAGCCAAGTTGGTGCTCAATCACTACTGCAATCTTATTGCTTTAGCAGAAAGATTGTCCTCTGGCCCTCCCAGGGGACACAGTGAGCTGACAGGTTCTTTGGTCTTAAAAAACAAATACATTCTAAAAAAAAGTCCAGGGCTCTGAGCCTTCTGACTCTTTCCCTAATAACTTGCCAAGGCAGTTCTGACATCTCCATCTCATTTACCATACATCACCACTGTGCCTAAGCTTCAAGTTACCTCACAAAATTGTTGGTTCTTGCTGACATAGAGAAAACCTATAGCTTTTCTCATGAATAAGTAATTTTCTCTTGTAGTAAGCACTATACTTTCCACCCCATCTATGCTGAGATTTAACGCTAGTTCTTGGTGAAGAGGAAATTTAGAGAGGTGAAAGCAGATCCTAAGACAACAAAAGCATCATGTTTGTGAGGTGCTCAGAGACGGAAGCTATCAGCATGATGGAAATGGCCAATCACAGCTGCAGAGGAGCTCAGACACGGGTCAAAGGAAAATGGAGCAGGTTATCAACAGTATTGCTTCAAAGTCATAATGAAAGAAGAGGGTGGTACTAAAAAAAAGAGGATTTTAATAGAATCCAAATCTTTACATACATACAAATACATGTAAATCTTTACATACACATACACATCTTTCCAGGAAATTCCACCAAGCAACCAGAATTGAGAACCACTGTCCTAAATTATTGGGTTTCAAAATTCATGGAGAAAATAGAAGTCACAAGACAGGAATAGCTTCATCGTCCTGCCATCTCAGGAATCTTCTTAAAATGAAGTGACCCTGCTTCTATCAGATGGCATCTCCTGCATGTGTCTCTGAATTTCCATCTGTTTCCCCTTTGCAAGAACCTGACTCTTGCAATTATCCCCCTTTCCTTGACTCTCAGCAGTGCACCCTTGTCTCTGGACTACTCTTCTCTCTTGATTCGAAGGGATCATATTTGCCTCGCTCTCCTCCTCCATCTGACTATTTTCTCCTGGCTCTTTGGCCTCTCCTCCTCCACCTGACATCTAAATAGTGGAAGCCCAGGAACTCTTTTCTGCTCTCTACACTGTCTCTCTAAGTAATGTCATCCAGTCCCACTTCTCTTCATTTCCATTTCTACTATCAAATTCCAAGACACTGCTATCTCGCTTTGATGACTGCAAGAGCCTCCAACCCAGTCTTTCTGTTTGTACTATTCCTACACATCACCCCAGCTTAAAAAACATAAGCAGATCTCACGGCCTAAAAATTGCCCAATGGTTTCCTGCTTGAAATCCTTATGATTGCTGAGAGGCTCTTTCAGGTATGGCCCCCATCTACTTCTCCATCCTCATCTCTTGCCACAGTCCTCCACTAACCCTCCCACCTAGGTCACAATTGCTATGTAGTTCCTTTATAGCACTTTTATCTTTTAGCTGAACTTATCATTTTTATCTGAATTTATTCGGTCTCCAGCCCACCCATGCCAGGTGGGAAGCTCTGCTCAAATCCATTATCCATCCTGCACAGTAATACCAATTTAGCTTTCCTAAAACAATACTTCCAGAATGTCCTTTGCCTCTAATAACAATGATAAAAATCCAGAATTCTTGGTCTGATACTCAAGATCAAGACATGGAGTTGGAAGAGACCACAGGATACATGAAATCTCTCCCCTTTATTTTACAGACTCACAAAGAAAGGCCCAGTAAAGTTTAATAACCTATTCAAAGCAACATTCCAATCTTTCTGCCAAGGAACTATTATTTACCCTATCCATTTTTGCCCACAGACATCCATGGTCAAGTGCTACCTCCCAGTTCACCTTTAAACACTGATAATACTCATTCAGATACTGAACAGTAAGAGGGAGCAGAAAAAGACCTAATAGTTATTTCAGCCTGAGCTTCCCTGTGTTAGATGATACGATCAGATACTGGAGAGTATGGTTTAACAATACACTGATTTATAAACCAGGATGCCTATTCACTAATAACCAATTCACTAATAACAAATAGAAAAGAAATGAATGCTACAACTTAGGTTGGCTATTCAATATAATCTGGGGTCAGTAAACTTATTTCTGTAAAGTTAGAGCAAATACATGAGGGAATAAATAATAATAAATAGTACATATATGAGGGCTACAGTCTCTGCTGCGTATCTTTCTTTACCTTTTTTTTTTTTTTTTTTTTTTTGGTTGTTTTGTTCTGTTTCTTACAATGCTTTAAAAATGTAAAAAACGGCTGAACACAGTGGCTTAGGGTCTCTAATACCAACACTTTGGGAGTGGGAGGAGACTGCTTGAAGCCAGGTGTTTAAGACCAGCCTGGGCAGCAAAATGAAACACGGTCTCCACAAAAAACAACAAAAAGAACAACAAAATAACCAAGCATGGTGGCACGTGCCTGTAGTCCCAGCTACTTGGGAGGCTGAGGCGAGGTGGAATATAATGTAAGACCATTCATAGTTCATGGTACTGAACAGGCATCAGTGCCCATTGATGCATAAACGTTCCATAATTTAGTATTGCCAGACTTCTTCTTTTTTATTTTTATTTTTTTGAGATGGAGTTTCCCTTTTGTCAGCCAGGCTGGAGTGCAATGGCACCATCTCGGCTCACTGCAACCTCCACTTCTCGGGTTTAAGCGATTCTCCTGCCTCAGCCTCTCAAGTAGCTGGGATTACAGGCGCCCGCCACCATGCCCGGCTAATTTTGTATTTTCAATAGAGATGGGTTTCGCCATTTTGGCCAGGCTAGTCTGGAACTCCTGACCTCAGGTGATCCACCCACCTTGGCCTCCCAAAGTGTTGGAATTACAGGCGTGAGCCACCGCGCCCGGCCCATACTTCTTAATTTTGTGATTTATTGCCTGAAAAACCGTCTCGCTGTGGTGTTTTTTGTATTTCCCAGATTAATAATCAGACTGAATATATTTTCATATTTATTAGCCATAGCACTTCCTCCTCCACACGAAAATCTCCTGTCATCTACATTTCTTCACAAAAGTCACATTGCTTTTGATCTTTATAGATTATTTTACATTTGCCATATTTATACATAATATCTTCCCTTTTGGGGCATTTAGAGAGTGCTGACAAAGTCTAGGCAACAACGAATTTATAAAACACCTATGAGCTGGGTGCACACGGGGTAATTTTCCACATATGCCTAATCCCGTCCTCATCAGATTAAGTTTCCCTGTCTTGTCATTTCTGAAGATGTATCCTATTAGAAGTCTAGCCCTTTATTCTTACACATTACACTTCCACTACTGTAGGGTGACATCTGAATGGACTCATCTTACTATTCCATGCATAGTACCAGGCACGTTGCGTGCTTTTAATACATTTTGTATAATTTTTACCTCTGTGTTTGACGTCCTGAAAAATACCGTCCACAATGACTTCACAGGTAGCCCCAACACTCGGTGCCCAGCGCGTTTCCCTAGTCCCTCCCTGCCACTTCACGTTGGGAATGGGACAAGAGGCACTGTGGGTCTCTTACCTATAGTTACGAAGCAACGGGCTCCCTTATTACTTCGTTTCCCAAATAGGGGGTGGGATACACAACCGAGGGAGTATGGGCAAAACAACTTTCAGGTCTTTGGCCACTTGCGTCTTCCTGTGGGCGAGCCTTTCCAGACCAATTACATTTTCTTTACTCATATTGCATAAATAGCAGAACTACATTTACTACAAAGCCCAGACATTCATGGTCATGGATCCTTGTGCATGTTTTCCAAGAGCAAACTGTACAAACACATAATCTCTGAAACACTGACGCACAAGCGAAAACACATGCACGTGTTTGTGTCTTCTCCCGCGGCCCAAGTTCTTTGAAACTGAGCGGAGAAAAATCGTCTTCGCATCGCATCTCACACTTTCGACACAATCTTATCGGGAAACAGAACACCTAAACAAAAATTTTTAAAATACATTTTTCAAAAACGATGACAATTCCTTTCGTCTTATGTTCCTTTTTGTCTTTAAGCTTTGGAGAGATTTATTTTGCGTTTCCAAACTGCTTCTGCCTGTCGGCGCCTGTGTGGAAACTGCGACGAGTCTGGAAGTAGCTGCCGGAGAGGCGGGGCGGAGGTGTGACGTCATCGCCGCGGGGCGGAGGCGACAGTGTCTAGCCGGGGCTCCGCGTGTAGCTACGCGGACAGAACTGGCTTTGAGACCGCGTGATTGTCCGCAGCTGGCCGCCTCCCCGTGGTGTTCAGCCCACGTCGAGTCCTGAGCTGAGATGGCAGACGATCTCGGAGACGAGTGGTGGGAGAACCAGCCAACTGGAGCAGACAGCAGCCCAGGTACCCACTCTGTGCCCGCGCCCCTACGGGGCCTCTCCCGGAGCCCTTCCGTGCGCCTCAGCCCTGATCGCTTCTGGCGGTCGCGGTGTCAGCCCGACAGGGACGCGCACAGCCGTGGGAGCGCGCAAGCATCTCGGGGAAAGTGGTGCAAGAGACTTTTTAACACGTGAAAAAGACAACGTGACATTAACTCAGATCTGTCTGCCAGCCAGGAAGGATCCTTTCCCAAGCTTTCTCTTTTCATTATTTCTTGAGAATGGATAAGACAGTTTTTGTGACGAGAAGCAACTTTGTGTGATGGGTAAGGGTGACCCATGAACTGCTTCAATTCAGGGTTACCCTTCAGACTGAGGTCAGAATAGGGGTTACTGCTTCAGACTGCTTCCATTCAAATCACGACTGCAGTATTCTGATACTGTTTAGCCTCCTTTTTCTCATGTGTAAAATAATGATAACAATAATGTCTACTTCATAAAGTTGTGAAGATTAAGTGAAGGTAGTACAGTAATGCACTTTAGCACGGTGCTTGACATAGATGTGCGGTAAATATAAGTTACTGTATTTCTTGTGGTCATGATCCTTATCATGTAATTTGGAATATTAGAACTGGAAGGAGGCTTAAATAGAGATCATCCTTTGAACTCACTTATTTTACAGATGAGAAACGTAACCTAAAGATGTCAAGTAACTTGACAAGTTCACAAAGCTAACTCCTTTGAGAAACAATACTAGAATTCAGTTAACACAATTTGAATAGTTTCTGCTATGCTTTGCTATGTTTACCAACTCCTGATGGGCATTTTATCCCCAAGTAGAGTAGCATTAAGTAACCCCCCATGTCAGGCTGGCCTTGAACTTTTTAAGTTCCATCACACCTACCATGCAATTATTGGTTGGTTGGTTGGTTTTTATCACTCCTCAAGGTCTGTCTCTCTTCTCTACAAGAGAAGACAGGTCCAAAGTTGGATTCATACTTCTGTCATCCACAGGGCCCTGCATGTTAGACACTTGATACCTATTTGCTGCAAACAGTCTTGAAATACTAGTTGTGAAATATCCATTAAAAATAACCAACTTTAGTGGTTACATTGTTTCCAGAAGGTCAAGCCTTCAGGTACAAACTAAGCAGATGTCATTTTTAAAAAGGTAGCCAATACAATATTTCCTTGATTAAACTTCCTGACTCTTTTGCAGCCCTGTGGTGTTCCACATTTACTTTAATAACTACCCCTCCCAACTCAGGTGTTAAAAAGCTCTATTTTATGATATGACTGAAGACCAATAGTGGCCATTTAAGAAATAGTTGAATTCTGTTTGAGTGGTAAAGGGGATCTCAATTCTTGGTTCTAGTCCTCACTAGCTGTGTGACTTTCAAGTTATTTATCCCTTGGAAGACAGGCAATCAACATGTTTTGAGTATCTATTATGTGACAAATGTCTCATAAATATGAATTGATTTAGCCTTCATAACATCCCTAAAAGGTAAGTATTCTCTTCGTTTGTATAGGTGGAGAAACAGAAAAAAGTTAAGGCGTGTTCTTAGGAACACACATGGAAGAAGAGGTCTGGGAAGAGTTAAGTGTGATTAATTTTGAAAGTTATACTTTTCCCACTACTACTATGTGACTTCTCTGGGCTTTTGTATCATAATCTGTAAAGAGCCCTTAAAGATCATCTTTTTTAGGGTTTTACCAACCAACAGTTTTAAACACTGAATCTAGTAAAACTTTAAATTGCTACAGCCTCCTTCATCTAAGTTGCCAGAATTCCCATGAAGACATTGTGTTGGAGTGCCTAAGATTACTCTACTTTTTAAATTCCTTCTAGCCATAAGACTAAGCCTTTTTTTTTTTTTTTTTTTTTGAAACAAAGTCTTGCTCTTGTTCCCCAGGCTGGAGTGCAATGGCGCAATCTTAGCTCACTGCAACCACCACCTCCTGGGTTCACGCAATTCTCCTGCCTCAGCCTCCCGAGTAGCTGGGATTACAGGAGTCTGCCATCACGCCTGGCTAATTTTTGTGTTTTTAGTAGAGGTGGGGTTTCACCATGTTGGCCAGGCTGGTCTCGAACTCCTGACCTGAAGTGGTCTGCCCGCATTGGCCTCCCAGAGTGCTGGGGTTACAGGTGTGAACCACCGCACCCGGCCAAGAGTAAGCTTTGAAAATTGCTGACATTAAATTTATCAGAGGCCTTTGCTTTGTTTGCTGCTCCTAAGCAAAGTAAGTATATGCATTTGTTTGAAATCTCCTTGATTATTCACTGGCAATTTGCCTAACTGTAATCTGTACACTGTTTCTAATTCAAAAGGAATCACAGCTGAACCATTTCAGATTTCCTGATTCTTCTTATGTTGATGGGATCTAGCCTTGATCCTAGAGCACAAGGCTTACTTACCTGGCTGCCTTCTTGAAGTCTTAAGTTATTTGACAGGGATGTCAGATGTATTCAATTGTTATTTCAGCCTAAAATATGTGAATTATGTTTTGTTTCAAAAGTCGAAGGAGAAATAATACGTTAAATCAGAGAAAGGAAAGATAGTTGTATTGGTGCTTTTATTCCTATTGTGAATTATGCTACCTGCCTATAAAAAAAAACATCTTTCGCTATCACGTGTTCCCACTTCACATCCATGGTAGCAAGGCAGTGGAACATTTCAGTCACTTACAAATACTTGTTGGTTATACATGGTTTATAACATGTAATGTAGCTGTCTGTTTGTTGTCTGTCTAAGGAACTGTACTATTTTTTGGCTGTTCTCTCGTCTTCTTGGATGTGGTATGTAACATGAAGTTTTTATGGCTCTTTAAAACCTGTCATTTTTGTGCTGGAGTCCTGCATTGCACTGGAGCTCACCATGGGTCCTGGCACTTAATTGGTGTTTGGTGGATGTTAGCAGAATAAATACGTGTGTGTATGCGTGTTACCTGCTACAGAGTATGTAGGTAGACATATAATTTCTCATCCAATCTAGAAACTTTTGTGAGTGGAAGGCTATGAATTTAGAATTTTGCAGGAACTCTCCTGGTCCGTAGGGGATGTCTGATCACACCATTGGTGGCAGTTGGAGTCATGACCCAACATAAGGCAGCTGGGAGTTGCAGTGCGGAGTGTGCAGCCCAGGATGCCTTAGGCATAAGACCCCAGGAATCATCTAATGGCATCTAATATTTGATTTATTTCCTTATTCCCTGTAAACCTTCAGAAACTGTTTGAAGTGACTTATAGTAAGTAATACATTCAGTAGAATAATGATTTGAAAATATTAATGCTGAAATGAGTAGATACAATGCCTGAGATTTTAATGTAGTTGACCAGTCTGGGTACTTTCTCAGTATGAAGGTGAAAACTGAGAGAATGTCAATTATAGCATGGATTTTGTGACTTATGGAAGAAAGTCGAGAGATTCTGCAGTTCAAAATGTCACTTGAGGGCCTGTCATCCCAGCACTTTGGGAGGCCAAGGCGGGCAGATCACCTGAGTCCAGGAATTTGAGACCAACCTGGCCAACATGGAGAAAACCTGTCTCTACTAAAAAGACAAAAATTAGCCAGGTGTGGTGGTAGGCACTTGTAGTCCCAGCTACTCAGGAGGCTGAGGCAGGAGAATCACTGGAACCCAGGAGGCAGAGCTTGCAGCAAGCCAAGATCGCACCACTGCACTCCTGCCTGTGCTACAGAGTGAGACTCTGTCTCAAAAAAAAAAGAAAGAAAAGAAAAAAGAAAATGTTACTTGATCATTTACTTACAGAAGATGAGGAGAATACTGATTGCTTTCCCTTTTTATTTCCATGATATACCTATTAAATTACCAAGTCGAGTACCCAGTAGGCAGCTAAGTATGTGAGTCTGGAGCTCCAGGGCCAGATCCAGGCTGAGATGCAGATTTAGGAATAACTGGCATACAGATAGCTTATTTTTAAAAAGCATATTCTTAGCAGTCTGTAACATTGAGCCTCCATGTCTTTTAAGGAGGGTCTTTCATATGCTTCCCCAACTCATTCTGAATCTTTGATGCCATCTCTTCCCAAGCATCTAACTAGAAAACTGAAGTTTTAAGACACTTCTGTGTACAGTGCCAGGAGACTGCAGGTGATCATACCACCTTGTGGCCGGGCGCAGTGGCTCACGCCTGTAATCCCTACACTTTGGGAGGCCAAGGCAGGTGGATCACCTGAGGTCAGGAGTTCGAGATAAGCCTGGCCAACGTGATGAAACACTGTCTCTACTAAAAATACAAAAAATTAGCTGGGCTTGGTGGCACGCACCTGTAATCCCAGCTACTCAAGAGGCTGAGGCAGGAGAATTGCTTGAACCCAGGAGGCGGAGGTTGCAGTGAGCCGAGATCGTTCCACTGCACTCCAGCCTAGGCAATGACAGCAAGACTCCATCTCAAAGTAATAATAATAATAATAATATAATAATAATAATACCAGCTGGCATTTGTTGAGCACTTACTACCTGCCAGGTACTGATTTCATTGTTTTACACGTTCTAGTTAGTTTAATCTTCATAAGTACACCAGGGGTAGTTACTGTTGTTATCTTTACTGATGAGGAAGTTGAGACACTGAGAAATTAAGTGATTTACCTAATACTATTTAATTTACTTTACCCAATGCTATCTATTTAATTGGTAAATGGGGGAGCTGTGATTCATATGCAGGCAGTCTGAAACCAGAGCCTGTGTGCTTATATTTCGCATTCTAATTATCAGTGGTAAGTATCTCATCTCTAAAGGAATAATCTGTCGTCGGTTTAAAGAGACTCATAATTTAGAAACTCTTTTGTTTATATATCATTATCAAATTGTGTCTATTAGTCTTCCAAAGTTTACACTGGTTACTTGGAGCTACAAATAAGCAGCTTTTCCATTTGGGCTTTGAGAACCATTTCTGCCAGTAACTCAAATCTGATCCTGGAGCTCAAGGCTTAACATATATAGCTGCCTTCTTTAAATCTTTAGTTATTTAATAGGGATGTCAAATGTAAACAAGACCCAACT